ACTCACCCCAACCCTAAGCAGTCAGGCAAATGAGAAAGCAGGGCTGTGAGAAAAGGTGAGAGACAAATCCAAAAGAAGTGACTGGTGTTTAATCATCCTCATTTGCTTAATCAAAGTAATAAATTCAGATTTTATGAAAACAAACAAAACAAAAAAACAAGTTATTCTTTACAGTCTATTAATACCGAAGTACTATTCAAGTTACTAAATATTCTTAGTAACAACAAACCCAGAGACACTGATCTTTAAGAAAATGTTTTTAAAAATACCTTTTTCAAGTTCTTCATCTCTTGCATCAATGTAAACACTTCGCTTCTCGCCCTTCCTCTCCAGGGTGAGGTCGTGGGAGAACTTGCACTTGTCCCCCTTCGTGCACTGCCCTTGCTTGAAGAAGGCGCACACCACAGACTTGGGGTCGGCACCTGTGCAAACGGCACACGCATTTGTAATGCCCTCTGCCAGGTCCTAAAGCACAGCTTCCAGGTGAGATCAGTCATTCTGGTTAACTTCTGATTCCCTACTCACTGATGTGAGAGGAAAACACCACTCATGGGTGTTTGGTGTGACGTTTTTTTCAAGTTCTTCTATTGCATTTTGTATACATTTTTGTTTCTTTTATTACAAAAAAACCCCCCAACAAACGAACAAACAAAAAACAACAAAGGGGGCGCAGGAGATGGGAAACCGAACACACATGTAAGTTATTCCATAATCACTTGTCCAGCTGCAGGTAAGGAGGCAGGGGGTAAAGAGAACACAAATGGAGGCACACTGCCAGGAGTCTGGGCCTCCGTTTACAGAACCCGAGGTTTGCCTTGTTTACTACCAAAGACTGGATATTACACAGCAACTAAATCATTAATTTTGCCTTAAGTTGGGGGGCTAATGGCTGGAGTAAACGTTGTACAAGGACACAGCTGTGCACAGATGTAAAGGAACTGTGAGAAAGTCAATGATAGATAATGTTGACAAAGGGAGCATCATTTTCATAGCAGATACAATCAGCTTATGATCGGAATATATATCAAAACAAATTAAGAGTTTTAAACATGAGTCACATTTGATAAAAATAATACTTCTGAAATGTAAAGTTTACCTTTACTTATTTTTTGAGCAGCAACTACAGGTTTGAACAGTTCATTTAGCTCTTGCAATTCTTTCTTCTTGTCATCTTTCTTTAATTTCTTTTCAGCTTCACTCTGTGCTACCTATAATATACCCAGGTAGAAAATAAACATTTGATTTCATAGAATTGTTTTCAGTGCCCAGTGACATGTAGCACTAACAGTAACACCCGTTTTACAATGCCGTTCAGTATATATGAAACGGTGTGGTTAAACTATGGCACAAAACTGCTAAATCTTAAAACATCTTTACTTCCTAGTTCCTGTAACTCATGCACTGCAAGTGAAAATCTGAAGTGCTACAATCTGATGGAAGTGATCCGGCAAAGTGATGAAAACGAGAAGCCCATCCCCTTCATCTAGAATGTGCCTCCGAATGCACTCAGGCCCCAGAGAGAAAGGCACATGTGCCTGCAAGAACACACACAGGGCACTTCCTGCAGAACTGCTCTCAGAGTCAGAAAGGGCTCCACGGGGAAACAAAGTGGTCACTTGTAAGTGGTGACGGGTGAGCATGTACAGCCAGTGTGTGGCCTTAGACGAGGTTAGACCATCTCAGAGCGGCTCGAGGAAGACCTAAGAGGCACTGCTGAGTCACCTGACAAGATACAGAAAAGTCTGTAGCGCAGGACTCTGGTCTGAAACATAATACCAAGTATCTTTAACTGTGAATAAAGAAAATGCAGAATTTAAGTCTTTACCTGGCGTGGATTCTGCTGACCAAACTTAACTTGATGAGTAACAGCCTTGATAAACTTCTGCTGCTTTGCTCCTTTCTTGTTCTTTAGCCCAAAAGTTTTGTCCTAAATGAAAAAAGAGTATAAAATATCTTAGCCATTTATAGTAATTTCTTATCTACTTTTCCAGTCCTATCTGAAAGCATTCTTTCCTTTACTTATGGGTGAGAAACTTAGTCTTTCTTATGCTACTCAGAGGCAAAACACTAAACATCAAGTCACGGCACCACTGACTCAGAACGTCACCAGACTCCACCACCAACACGGTGACAGCCGCACCCTGCAACCGGCTCCCGCGGCGGCTTCGCCTGCGCCACAGCAAGTGCGGAGCTGCCACAGGAATGAGAAGCCCTACAGTCCGTAGGAGATGCGTGGTTAACAGGTTGTTAATTCTAAGACAGCAGGAGCCGTACCACAGGGGAGACGCAGGCAGCAATTTCAAAACTCGTCCTGCCTCTAGTGCACTTTCCTCACCCACCCTGAAGAACTATGCTCTACTGAACAGTTTTGGAAATAGTGCAAAAGAAGATACATTAAGTTCTAGACTGATTTTTTGGGTCGTTGTCCTCTCAAAACAATTACATTTAAAGAACTCAAACTACTGAGAAGCATTCATTCCCGGTTGTTGCTAAAATGGAGATAGTAAAATTGAGTATACCCAACTAAATAGCAACATGCTACTTAAATCTGGAATAGTGACAGAGTGATCTGGGAAAACTATTAAAAGGAGTAGTGCTTACTGTGGAATGCTCATGTGCAAGGCACTAACCAAACCTTTGGCTACCTCTTCACATTAATAAGCACGCAGCACGGAGACATTTAGAAGCCACTGCACGTGGCGCCAGCTCGTGCTTCAGGGCTGCAGTGGGTTCAACAGCATCCCCCCAAAGTCACGTCTCCTGGGAACCTCAGAGCGCAGGTCCTTGCAGGTGCAGTAAGTGAAGACGGCACAGTGGTTAGGGTGGGCCCTAAACCCAAGGACCGAATCATTTTTCTTCCCATCTTCACAGCATTGTCCATTTCCTATCGCCTCTGCATCAGGCGTGAAGGGCCACCCTTCCCTTCTACAAACAGCGAGCTCTCTCGGGGGGACCAGGTGAGGAGCTTCCAGAGAAAGTATCACCAGAATCAAATACGGCAGCCTCTGCACACACCGCGCCAGAGAAGAGCACAACTGGGTCCAACCACGCCCCTACGGCAGCAGAGAAGCAGCACACCTCGACCAAAGACCACAGGGCCAGGGGGGATCTGACCCCCGGAGACGCAGGAGTGGACTGGTCCTTGCGGGGGACCTGGCCACGGGGAAGCAAGTGCTCAGGACAACAGCACGGTGTGCACGCCAGGTCCCAGAGAACGCGCTCCCATGGCCCCGTGTGGGCACATGACTAACCCGTCTCGAGATAAGAAGTCCTGTTCTTCCAAGTCTCCAGGTCAGGAATCATTTCTTCCAGAGAGATGGGGGCACTTATGTACCTGGCAGTCACCAAACATCAATTCCTGAACGTGTTTTATTGAATCCTCTTAGCAATCTTATACTATTACCAGTGGCCCGGTGCATGAAATTGGTGCACCCCCCCCCCGTCACAGTGCGGGAGCCCCGCGATCCACCGCCCCAAAGAGGTAGGCCTCCGCGAGCCTCACACAAGTCCCCGCCCACCTGTGCCTGCTGTGCACGCAGCCTCCTGCTGATCAGTTGTGATGCATGAGGGCATCACAACCATTTGCACATTAGCTCTTTATTACTTAGATCACACTCTGTAATTGTAGCCATGGAAACTTAAAAATGTTCAATTCCTTTGAAGTAACATCCCAGATAATAAAACCCTAACATGCAAATCCACCAAACAGCGGGACCGGTCGCTATGATGCACTGACCACCAGGGGGCAGGCGCTCAATGCAGGAGCTGCTCCCCTGGTGGTCAGTGAGCTCCCACAGGGGGAGCCCCGCTCAGCCAGAAGCCGGGATCATGGCTGGTGAGTGCAGTGGCGGTGGTGGGAGCCTCTCCTGCTCCCCGCTGCAGGCGGAAGGTAAGGAGTGAGGGGGTCCCAGACTTCGAGAGCCTGGGATGCGAGAGGGATGTCTGACTCTGGGGGGAGTTGGCCTAAACCGGCAGGTGAACATCCCCTGAGGGGTCCTGGACTGTGAGAGGGCGCAGGCCAGGCTGAGGGACCCCCCCCCCCCCCCAGCCAGTGCACGATTTTCCTGTACCGGGCTTCTAGTCTATAATAATAAAAGCATAATACGCTAATTAGACCAGACGTCCTTCCGGATGAAGCCAGGGCTGCATGAAGCCAGGGCTGCGAGGGAAGCCCGGTGCCGGCAGCTGGGGGAAGGAAGGCCTACTCTTGCACGAAATTCGTGCATCAGGCCTCTAGTTGTTAATAAGGGCAGGCTGTCCAGTGTGATGCTTTAAAATGGGGTGGGGAACGCCGAGCCCGAGGGCTGTAGAAGGCCCTTGAGATCATTCGGTCTGGCCCTGCCAAGGCACCAGGGTGAGCTGTTAACATCTTTAAGCTGATAATTTTGTGTGGCCCTGGCAGGAAAAGGCTCCCACCTGCTTTAAGAGCATAAGCTCTGAAGCCGGACGGCGCACATTCTATTCGCAAACAGACTGAGCAAATGCCCTTCTTTGCCAGTTTTCTTACTGTGCAGTGGGTCTCACACGAGCCTGGGATCGAGCCTGGGGTCGCCGAGTTACAAGGTTCACCAGAGGACACTCAGCGCGGAGGGGAACCGCGCAGACTCTGGAGCCAGACAGCCTGGGTCTGATCCCGCCTTGTCCCCTGCCTTCTTCCCGGTGGGCAGACAGGTTTTCTGAGTCCCACTGGCTCCACGGAGGATACGCCTCCTCTTGAAGACGGGCCGTCTGCAACTTGCAGTCACACTCCCTGCCCCTTAGCTGGGGACAGACCTTACCTAAACTTGGCCTGGACTGGGGAGGGGAACAGGAGGCGGGAAGAGGTGCAATCAACCCCCGTCCTGGCTAAGATACGACCAGGGAGAGCAGATCCCAGAGGCGAGGCGAGAGGAGGGGCCTGTGTGCTTCAGACTTGGGGATCCGGACACGGAGGCGTCTAGAAACAGGCGGTCACTCCAGGAAAAGGAGGGCTCCCCGAGCCTTAACACCCAGGGAGTGAATCGGCTGAGAATTCCCTTTTATTTAAAACCAGCCCCCTTCCCCGCCAGGTAACCCTGCTCTGGTACAGGCAGCTCCCACTCCGCCAGGAGCTCTCCTCCGCACCCGTCAAGCAGGTTCATGCACCTCATCAAGGAAGCGGCCAGGAGCCACCCTCAGATGCCCTGGTCACTCAGCACCGGCCCCGGGATGCATCTAGGGGCCCGGCCGGCTGAGCTGCTGCAGGTCCTCACGGCACCAACACGCAGTGAGAACACAGGTGCCGCCCGGGGCTCAGTGGCCGAGCGCCGACCTATGACCCGTAGGTCACGGTTCGGTCCCCGGTCAGGGCACCTGCTGGGTGTGGGCTCCATCCCCAGGGGGGGGCCGGTCAGCGATTCTCTCTCATCGTTGATGTTTCTATCGCTCTCCCTTCCTCTCTCTGAAAATAAAACACACAAAAACAACCAGAAAACACATATTGAAAATTAAAAAAAGATTCCAGGTGCCGCTTCCAGTTTGGACCGTGGCCAAAGCTACTAGGACTCACTCGCCATCAACACGCTCATTGAGTCCGGTCGGCAGGACTGATTACAAACGAAAATCACTGGCAAACGCCGCATTTCAAGGCACCGGAAATGCATGCCGGCCGGGCTCCAACCAGAAGGCACCAACCCCCCTCCGAAAGCTGCCCACCGTCCAGGTGCGCTCATGCAAAAGAAAGACGGAAAAAGAGCCACGCTCTCCGCT